CACAGTGAATAGGCTAAGTACTAAGTTAGCCAGTTCAAAGGAAGCAGGAGGAGATATTTCTTTAGAGAGTTTGATTTTTGACGTTATAGCTGATATTAGGGCAGGATCAGCAAAGACAAAAAGGGACAGTGACATAGCATGGGCAAAAACACAGGATTTGAAAGGAATTGACCCTCTTCCTCCTACACAGGTATGTAATATGTCTAATTTAGCTGGTCACCTTGGTCGTTAATCTAATACAACTGTCAGTCTCACATTTTATGCTGCCTTTGCTACCGAGCTATATTTTGCTGTTATTATTATGAAGACATAACATTACTAGGGAATGTTAATAACTTTAGCTTTCTCAACAAAATATATTTTACCGAGCAAATGAATAATCTGTTAGTTGTAGGCTTACGTGTAACATAGGTGTATGAACTGCATGAATATCATGTTACAGTCATTAATTTAATATAGTCACAAATATATACATTACCTCATTGCTGTGCATCCTGCAAACAAACTATGTTTAATAAAGAAATATAGCATTTAAACTAAGTTGCATCTCTTTTACTGGCTTCAAAAACAAATGCACACACTAGCAAGATCTATTCGACCGGAGGGTGCGGGAGCACTACTACTTTTGTCCAGAGAGGGCGCCAGAATCAACTCATTGTAGTTGCTTTAAATAAAATTAAAGGAAGGATTTGTATTGTAATGGCGTATTTATGCATTGCGTTATTGCTGCTTCTGCTTACTTAAAGGATCAGAGTACCAAATGTGAAATACACCGACTGACTGAAAATCTGAACAACAGATAAATTATTAAACAATTGCTGCACAAAAAGTTAGTGAGTCAAATGTTTCACTTCTTTTGAATTGACACACTTGGTTCAGTGTGGATTAAACAGTACCTTCCTTTATGCTGTAATGGATCCTGGAGGAATGGACGAAGCAATATGAACAAATAGCTGCAGTGGATGATTTATGGTGATGCATAACTAGTCTTTTCTCAATGGACAAATGAGTCTGCCTCAAAATGGATCCTCTCAGCATTTTGAATAAGCTCTCCTGGTGCAGTGTGCCTGCATTTGGGGATCAGTTTATTTAATGACAGCGGGGCCATCTACAATCTGTCATTACTTAGGGCCTTATGATTAGTCAAATGCTCATCAAAGTCATGGTGGGAGTAAAATGCCCAGGTGGTCTCCCTGCAATCAATCAAATTGACTAAACCACAATGAAGGTGCACACAAACACACACACACGCACACACACACACACACACACACACACACACACACACACACACACACACACACACTCTGTCTCTCATTCTCTCTTTCTCTCTCTACTGAGCTTTGTGTCAGCCATAAGCTCTTTCCATTAAACCTGTGCTGCATTAAGCATTTGGGTTAAAAGCTTTCATAATCAGGTGTGCTCTCATTTAGTGTACAGAGATTTCCATGATCAATACTGTCCTTGACGTTAGAGCTTTGCCCACTGTGTGTAGGTGTGTGTGGGTGTGCATCATGGTGTGCATGCGTGTATGCAGAGGGACCTCAGAGTCAGAGCTTTGGCCCTAGTGTATGTGTGTGTGTCTGTGTTGATGTATTTGCCTGTCTGAGTGTGTGTTTACTGTCTTCTGTATGCGGGGGCAAACTGTTTCCTACTGTGATTTCTTCTTTCTGTGAGCAACAGTGGTTTTCTGTAGATACTGCGGCTGTTTTTCTGCCTGACGCCCCCTCAGTTGATCCCGAGGTCCACTCTATAGACTGCTACTGCAACACATGTAGAGTCAAAACCCATTAATGAGCCCAACTCACACATACAAACCAGCTTTGGTTCGTTATTCTTTGCTTGTGTGTGAATGTTTGAAATGCATTTTGTGCTTGAATGTGTATGTCTCTCGTAGGCAGTGATAAGTGTGGTGCTCAGTTTTAATATTGCATTTTCTTCTAAACAAGTAATACCTTTGCTGTTGTGGTGAGACAGTTGTATTTGTTCTGCATGCAAATCAACTCGCTTTGAATTGTTATGAATCCAGGAATGTTGACTTTACAGAAGAAGAGGCATCTGTCTGTCCTTCAATAACGCTGCCTGCTTCCAGAGAAACTTTTTTTTAAATGATATCCAAAATGAAAAGGCTCTTCACTCTCAAAACACAGTTTTCTGGCTAAATTGCTTTATCTTGTTTAAAACAGGGAGAGGGAAAGAAACGAGACAAATGTTTCAACCCTACGCCTACCTCACTGCATCAACCTCAAAAAACTGTCTTGTTAAATTGATATTTTTTGTATTTGTGTGTTTTTATGAGTGTGAGACCAGTGTGTGCTTGTGTGCTTGCTTGTAAGTGTGTGGGTGTTCAGGGACTTTTAGAGAAGTACGCCGGCAGCAGCAGTTTTTACAAATGCCTCCTCTGCATTGAGATCAATACGTTAGGCCTTGGGGGATGAGCTTGACCCATGTGAGCAGTTTTTCATAATCACTTAGGTCATGAAAATGCTGTTTTCCCCCATAGTGGTGCTTCCTTATGGGTTGTATTTTACTTTTCCATTTGCATTCATGTGAAAAAATTACATGCAATATGGACAGATGAGCAGGCGGGTAAAACATCAATATTAAAAAGAAAAAATAAAGACAAATTGCATGGTTCTCTGTAAGACCTTTATTGTTGGTCTGCATGCGATGTTTAGTGAACTTGAACTTGTACTTTGCCACCAGGGTCAAGTGTCACATGATGAATTAACTGTTGCATTAACATATGTCAGCAGTTACCATCACCACTCTGACCCCAGATTCATTCTCTGTCTTTGGATTTCAACATGATAGATGCTAAATTGTGCCCATCAATTTCTGTGCTTGACAACTGTTATTTTCTTCATGAAACATTACAGTTAATGTCAATCCATTGAGGACTAATAACGTCTTCATCCCTGACACTGCCAAAGGCCTGTGTCCTGACAAACTGTGATGCCTTAATTCCCAGTAGCATTCCACTGAAGCAGGCCTTGGCCCTGACAGAGCAGTCTGTGATGGCTATGTTCATTGTTCATGTGCTCAATAGGCAGCACATGGCGTGGGCAGCAGTCAGTGGGGCTAAATTTGTGCCTCTCTGCTCATTCCGGGGATATTTGTGACTTGCTCCTTGTTGACTCGTTGCACTTCTTGCTGACAACGGGTCTCTGTGTGTCACAGACTGCTAAATCCAGCCAGCTGTATGCAATTAGGCTGCAAAATTCTGGGGATGTGCATGCTCCTCTGCAAAGCATCAAGAGGTGACAATGTGATGATTTAAAATCTATGATCAGCTAAAAAATATATTTAATTGGATTAGATTTGTTTGGACAGGTTTTAAATAGTAATATCAACATAAAAAAGTCAGTATATCACCATACATCACCTATATCAGAGGTGTGAGGCGGGCCTCCCCAGGGGGGCTCCGAAGTGTTTCAGGGGAGGCTAGGTGAATGGAAGTGAAACAATATTACATTATCAAAAGAAGATAACATAAAATAGCCTACGTGTTGTTGTTGTTTTCCTAAGCTTCCTAAGGGGAGACCCACAGTCTCAGACTTTGAAAACCCCTGATCTATATCATGACAGTTCTAGGAATTAAGAACTTGGCTAAACCTATCCTTTGTATAGTAGCAGACCAGACGGGCCCGTTTTCCAGGGACAGCCCCTGGTTTTGGTGGCCTGTGCCTGTCTCGAGCTGTCCCCGGAAATGTCCCCGTTTTTAACATTTATGTGATTACAGGCAATAATAGAAGCCTGTTGTTGCCGATTGAGTATGTATTTGGTAGGCCTATATCTAATATCCTTGTTTGTATTTGGGAAATGGAATCTAGCCTATACTTAACATGACTTACTGCTGAGTTATATATAAAATAAAGACATCTCATTTGCAATTATCCTTAAGATTCTACATTATTTAACTTGCTGTGTACCATTCCAGTCCTTTTTACCTGTTGAAATACCTTTAAATGGCCAATACAACCTATGTTCCACTTGCCAGAAAGTGATAAGCTTCTGCTTATGGACTGAAATGTAGATTTTGCCTCAAAATGAATTGATTTCATTCAAAAGTTATATTTGACAGATTATAACTCTAATAGCACTTTTACCTCTTAAAATACATTTAAATGGCAAAAACAACACATACAATGCAGTTCTACTTGCCAGAAAGTGATTGCATCCTCTACTTATTGACTGAAAGGTAGTTTCTGCCTCAAAATAACTTGATTTAATTCAGAAGAGTTATATTTGGCAGATTATAAAACCAAAATTGTTCCCCTTTTTTATTTCATATATAATAACATTATATTTTATAATGACATACTGACCACCAAACCACAAATGTCCCCGGTTTCCATTTCAGAAATCTGGTCACTTTATAGTAAAGCCTAGACTACTACAGGTAATTCAGGTTGTGTCACAACAGAAAACTCAATGTTTATTCAGGAATATTATTATATATCATTAAAACCAATCTGATTTTCAATTTCACTAGATTAAAATAATGAAAAGATGTACATTCCCAATATTTATCTAGGAAATTGTGGCTTAGAGAAGGTTACTGTACACAAGTGTTATGGGGATTAATACAGTATCTCACAGAAATAACTGCAGTAGGTTTTGTCAGATGTCTTTAATGTTTTCATCTTTGACAGACAGACCAGGCGCTGGTTCATAAATCTGTGGCCACATCTTTTCCCTCAGGGAGATTCACTGTTGTTTCCTAGGTAACAAGCACCCCCCTCCCTTTACCCTTGGTTGCTCTGGACTGTACCACCTTTACTTTAGGGTGGGAATTGTGTTGTTTATCGAAAAGAACTAGACTTCCATGTTAAAATTGAGAGACATTTACCAATACATTACACTTATACACCTTGCATATTTCAGTTGCGGCGTATAATATATCAAATAGTTGATGATAAATGCGTTATTACTGTTTAGACCGTTGTACTAACCCCCCTAGCGAAGCACATTCAACATTTCATCGAACTGTCAAAATCGCTTGTTGCTTCAACCCGAGCCTTACAAGTAGTTAGCGATCTAGCGTGTAGCGAGTGATAGCTTACTCCTGCCTTTCTCTAAAATACATTTCGAAAGCGAAAAAGTTTGCTGCTCAAAATAAATAGTGAGAAGCCTCAGTCGACGACCATTTTTGACCGTCCTGTCTCGAACCGTGGGTCCCGTTCTAACCGAAATAGCGCTCTGGAGAAGCGGTGGTGACAGCTGGATGTGACAGGTTCGTCATCAGGTAAGATGCAGGTAGTTAGCTTAGCAGCTAGCAACTTTTGGCTTTGGCTTTGTCTTTACACACTTGTTACGGTGAACATAGCGGCTCTTTGGACAGTAGATGTAGCTAAAATGGTTCTAAGGATTCTTCTCCAGTATCATAAACATCATGCGCTGATGTCTGGATTACTATGCTAGCTCATAGTCACTGCCCAGATAGCTAACGTTAATGAAAACAAGTGAAAGCAGCTCCATGAAAACAAAGATTAAATCAGCATGAATTACGCCGTAGTGGTGTCTGTGTGTCTCTCCTGCACGGTTAGTGCTTTCTGGGACATGCTGTTTGCTATTAGTGAAGTAGCTAATGACCATAACGAAATCATTCGGGGATAGGTCTGATAATAACTCATTTATTATTGATACCATAACGTTAGATATCGTCTGATAGACAGTTAGTAACGTAAGCGAACAACTATTGTATGCCATTACTTTCAAATGCAAATGTAAAAAAACAATAAATGTAATGGCACCTTGATTAAGGGGTTGTTAGATTTAATTGCTGTGTAACGTTACAATAAAAAAAAAGAAGAAGTTCTAATGGACATTTTAGTCTACTGCAGGTTGGCTGAGGAAGAGCCTTCACACCTGGGTAAGGTTAACAAGTTGTGATCAGGCTAGCTGCTAGGTCATGTACAGTAATTGGTCCTTCTGAAAGTGCAAATTGCAATCTCAAAACAGACTTGCACCACTGGAAGCACTGTGCAGAGAGAGTGCAGACATTAAGTTCAAATGAGCTATCATTATAACAGTGTAAATGGGACTTTGGCTTTCCATTTGTATGGAATATATTGTGTTCATTAAGGCTATCCCAGCAGTGGTACAATTGAGTAAGACATAACAATCCAAGTGCACTATGATTGTTAGGAAATTAGATTTATAATCAGCAGTATGAAAAATTGGTCGATATCGTTATATAGGGTCAAATTAGCATGAGATTAACCTACAGAAAATATACAATATTTATGCAAAGCCATTAGTAAGTGAAATCAGTACCTCCTGATTGATTTTGATCCTTTTTTGTCTTTACTTTTGAACACAGCCTCAATTCACAGCCTTGAACTTGCTCCAAAACACACTGGTTGACCACTTGCCTATGCATTCATTTTGCACTTTTTATTCTCAATCCTCATGTGGACTTGGTGTGTGACAGACTTACCAAAATGGCTTTCAAGCGGAAGGAAGCACAACTCTCTGCCGCTGGATATTTGATTACGGCTAATAATAGAAAAAGACAGCTGCCTTTTCATTGATCTGTCTTCAGTGCCCTATTTGTGAGCCCTGTTTTTTTCCCTCTGTCGTTAAACTCTCCAGTAGTCTGTGCTGGGTGGCGGTTTCAAACACAGTTTTAACCCATCAATCTTCATTTGCTGTAATTAGCCTTTGTTTCAGAATACTCTATTTGAAAATGAAGCCGCTTTGGGCCACAGAATCGGTTTGTGTTAGAGTGAGCCAAGCTGGCTGGGGTCAAACAGGACAGGGATAATAAGAGGGGAGGGGATACCATGTGGGAAGGAAGTGGCTCCGCTTGTTTGTCTGCCAGGCTTTTGTTTGTTTTCCTGTTGGACAAATCTATTTAGGAGGTAGGCTATCTGAGGTCTGCCGGTGGAAATTAGCTACAAGCAGGGCTTGTTATACAGTTATTGACAGTTATTCGGTAATGTGGTTATTGAGAAGTCCGATGCCGCCAAATGAGAAATTGATAAACTTCATCAATCAGTAATGGTGTAGCAGGCTGACCTGTACAACTGTTGTTGTTCTGGATGAATCGTAACATTTTGAATTTTTATTCCTGGACATACCAGTCAAGTTCTACCGTGCAGTAATATACAATTGCTATCTAGGAGCATGCATGCTCCTCAAATCTCTTGCATCTGTGTACAGCATAGTGAGACTACATTCACGGAAGGTTTAAGGTTACACTTTTGCTTTTGACAACGGCTGATATCACCAGCCTCCATGTTCGTGCCTCACGTAATGGCAGAGCGCCCGTCTGGGTTATTTCATTACAGGTGCCCTGATGCCGTCAGTATTCAGTGTCATTTGCTGAGGTAGACAATTTTTCATGCTAAAGAGATTAATCCCCCCCCACCCAACCACCATCTCCCCAAAACCCTTTGACAAATCTATTGCCTGTGGAACATCAGATTATATGTAGCTATTAAAGCATAATCAGACAGTAAATAGGTTTGTTTATCATGGAACTGTAAAGCATGTTTAGCCTCACGGATGTCAACGAAACACCCAGGCTGCCACGTCATTCACAGCCTTTGTATGAGACAGAAGCAGAGGGAGAGGGAGAGAGAGAGACAGACACAGGGAGAGACAGAGACACAGAGAGACAGATGGTACAGCTGTTCTATTGAATCTGGATCGAAAAGTCATGAAGCTGGATCTCTGACTCATCAGTTCTGTGACGCTCCGGTTTCACGGCTCATATGATGCCAGCCAGCATGTCATCAGCTGGGTGGAGGGGAGAGGAGGGGGGAGGAGACAGATCCCAGTCACCACCAATCTTTTATTATTATTATTTTTTTCTCCAAGTAAATTCTGACGCAATAACAATAACAGAAATGTTCGCTACTGTGCAGTTTTCCAGGGGAAGAGATGTGTAAGAGAAGGGGAGGAGAGGAGTGTCTGGCATGGTGGGGTAGATGACTTTAGAGGACGGGGAGGAGGTAGAAGAGAGTCGTGAGGGGGAGGAGGTGCAGTGCTCTTGTTTCCTGGGGGGATGGTGTTAAATGTGATGATAGAACATAGACAAGGACAGGGCTGATTTTCATTATGTCACTGCAGCAACTCTTTGATTATTGCTTTCTGGTATTTCTTTGTTGCATGAGAAACAAGTCTAGACTTTATATTCTTGAGCTTGTTTTCCATTAGAAAACAATTCTCGTGGTGCTGATTTGAATTTAAATATAATTAAGTTCACCAGGAGAAGGATGGGCAATGAATAAATGACATGACAACTACTGAGCACGGCATGAAATTGGGGAAATACCTTTTAAGATGAGCATTCAGAGGTTGCTGCTGTAAGCCCAGTTTTCACCCCATCACTTCGTCTACTCTGTTCCAATGGAGAGGCACAGAAAGCTGGGATTCAGAGTGGCTGTTCTTTTATTGGCTGGAGCTGTTAAGGGGCAGGCCTTGCCACAGGCTGGTGGGCAGGAAGGGGCTGGCTTTATGGGTGTGGGGGGGTTGGCTGGAAGTGTTTCAGCTAGTAGTTTGAGTAGACACTCTTCTGCTTCCTGCTTGCCTGCCTGCCTGCCTCGCTCGCTTGCTCCGTGGCTGAGAGAGAGAGAGAGAGAGAGAGAGAGAGAGAGAGAGACATCGAGAGAAAATCCCTGTCTAGGCATGGACCTCCAGCTGCAGCACTCGGCAGCTCGCAAGGAATGACAACTGTTCACATGGTCATTAACTCCAGTCGCTGAGGCTGAAGGGAGAGCTGCACTGAAGCTCAGTGTCACAGAAGCGCCGAGTGCCGTCTGTGTTCGGGACAGCAGACAGACAGAGGCACATAGCAGAGCTACGGGACGCAGTGAAACGAGGTGGGGAAGAACTGTCATATTGGCTTTTTCTTTCTGAATTTTATGAAGATTTCTTTCAGGAGTTTTGCTGCAGTGTGTGCTGCATACCAGTCTGAGTGGGGAGGGAGGAGAGGGAATGTTTTATCTGTGTGAGAGAAAGAGTGCAAGGCTAGTAGCGAGGGAAGAATATATAGAGTGTGTGGGATAAATGCACAGGAGCGCTGGGAGCTTACAGCCAGGCAGCAACTACCCTCATTGCAGTTTGCAGCACTGCAATGGGCTTTCTGCTCCTGGGGGAGAGGCATTATCACAGCAGTTTACTCGTCCCTTCCTTGGTGCAAATGTCAGGAGCTCTCTTTTGGCACATGGGTTAAATATGTTTTACTCCTGAGAAAAAGTTGTTGTGTTGCATGTTCTGCCCTATCAGAGCTTTCCTTGTGTTGTCCTCAAAGTTTTTCTTCATAGCTTTTGGTGTGCAAATCATCCAGATGCAAAGATTGTTTGTTCAGAACAGGGTCTGATGTTTTTGACGCTCTTTATGTATGTAAATGCAAAAACATGATGGTCAGAATGAGCTTCACAGTTCTAATAAGGCCTTAACCTTTTGAGTTAGATGGGGCATGGTTGACGTGTCTCCAGCTTTCAACTGTCTATCTAGATTTAGCTTCGCACTAGACGCTGTGCCTGGCGCGGTCAAGTAGTGGACATCATCGCCTCCATGGAAAGGGCCAGGGTAGTGTCATACGTCTGGCCGTGGATCAAGGGGAAGTGGGTGTTTTCTAAAATGGAACATCAGTTCAGCCCTTCCTGTTGCAAAAATAATGGGATAAGTCTCAGACAAGCACCAAGTGCATACTGCAAGACCCTGTCAGCCAGAAATCCCCTTTCTCTGAATTGACTCTCATGCAAATTGCACTTCGAGATGGTATTAAAAGGATTTAGTAGTTGGTAGGTTTTTCAGACATCTTCCGCATGAAAGAGGGGGACTGATTGCTCTGTGACACAAGGGTGAGTTTGCTGAATCACTCAGCTCTTATGTTTTCAAGGGCTGTAATTTGAAGGCTTAATATTTCCATTCATTTGATGGGTTTTACCTACTATTTCACTGGGAAAGCACGTTAATCTAACCTAGTTTTTGCTATCCTTGATTCTAGGATATATAAAATGTCAGTGGAACTTATCAAAAACGGTTACAGTACAGTGTTTCGACAATTCTCACCTCAGACTTTTAGATTCAGTAAGCTTGGGTATCTGGTAAATCATCATGATTATCTGAACAGCACAGTTCACCACTGGCTGCCAACTACACTGTAATTAGCTGATGACTTGCCTGAGTCCTGTGGATAAGCAGGGAATAGACAAGAACACTTACACAGTAAACAAGTTCGTTTACTCTGAGTGCCGAGATTGATATCAATCCCAGATATTAACACTCTCTCGACGTGCTTATAAAAACTTCTGTTTCTTCCTTTTTTTCCGCTTCTCTGTTTTACGAAATGGGCCACTGATCATGAGGGAAAAGCCCAGTCCCATATCATGACCAGGGCTATCCGGGTCACTGTGGTTTAGCTAAAGCTATTATGATATGGGGCACACCTATCTGCTGACTCTGTGAAACGCTTCTTGTGCTGCCTCAGAACAGTAGCTTAGTCCTGGTATAGCCTCTGCTGAGCTCACTCACCCGTCCTTATCGCTAATGATATTTGATAATATTGAACTCAAGGAGCCGTAGCTTATGCCAAAGACAATTTCATAAGCATCATAATGTCCATAGCATTAAATGCGAATTAGGCTGCAGGGTATAGCCCTGCTCTGATCCTCTCTGGAAGATGCAAAGGAACATTTTGCAAGCCAATAAGGTGGTGATGTCACACTGAAAGTTAAGTTAGGTTTGTTAGGAATAGAGGACATTTTGATAAAACCTGTACTATAAGGCTTACTCATTTTCCATTACTCACTGGAAAGTGAGCACTTTCCTATTTCCCCTCCACAATGAGGGCCTCTCTCCACAGCCTTGAAAAACATTGACCGCTTATTCCTCTTGGCCATGCAAATGACCGTAGAACCGTGGTTTGCAAGCATAAAATGGTAATAAATGGAAATGCAGCCACTCCAGGTACCCATCTCATGTGCTTCTCTGTCACAGTCATTTGTATTTCTGCTTTATTAAACTGGCAACACCTGGCTGATGCCACAGTACACGTTGTCACAAGGCTTACGACCAGTGGAAACCAGGTAGCTTATCGTCTCTGCTGAACAAATACACGCTGCTAAGATAAACTGCACAGCACAGACAGAGCACACAGATACCAGACTAATGGGTTACATGCGTGGTATTCAGAGGTCAGGCCAATGACTTTCACTCGAGACGCCCCAGTCCCGCTGACTCTCATTCAATTAAGCAGACTGACCAAGATAATGCTCCTGCCAGCTTGCCTTAGTAAGCGTCAGTAATCCATAAAGTCTAGTACTGTGGTGCTTTTCTTCACATCTCTGCCCTGCTTTATCAGGTCATCCTGTCTGTCCACTGTTTGTATTGAGGACACAGAGGGGACAAAGCCTTCTTACAGGAACTCAAGAACTGAAGATAAACAGGATATACTCTGGTGTGCAGGAGTGGCTGTTGTGGTTGTGGCGGTGTAGTATTTTTATTTAAAATGTAAAAACAAAAAGGATGACACTATCAGGATTTAAGATGCTGTCGCCAAAGTGAACAGACATATTAACATTTACATATCCGGGGCATCTGGTATGAAAATGATTGCATCCATTTTGTTACATTAACTTGAAAAACAGTATATTTCTGTGTTGCCAAGGGCTGATTATTAGACTACTCCATGACTTAAACTATTTCTGTTAAGTGCTAATTTTCAGATTTCTGTCCCTGGATGGACACTGCAGAAACAGAACCCGGTTCACTCATGAAGGTGTACAGAAGGGTTGATCTCTGAGGTCAAAACATAGTGTGCTTTATGGTCCCTTCCTACCTGCTGACCATCTGTCTTTCCCTCCCTTTATGTCAGCAGCATTGTGCTTGAAGCACAACCGCTAAGCTCAGCGTAAACTAAGCCAGGCTGCATCTAATGTAGGTGTAATGCCCTAGCAGCTAAACTAGCCTGTGCTAAGCCAGAGGCGCACTGTTCAAGGACACATTAAACCAGACTAAACCAAAACTGCATGTGCTGCCTCCGAGTCTAACTAGAGTTTTTCATGACAGTTGTTATTGCAAAGCATTTTTCTTCCACTGTGAGTTTGAGTTTATCATGCTCTAAAGATGGGCTGTTGTTATAAGACAGAGGTAACAGTTTCCTCCCCAGGATGACAGTTTGCTTTCCAGCAGGGGTTTTGGTATGTTTCAAGAGAGTAAGAGGGCTCAGTTGTCTCTGCTAAACAGAGGCTAGCATCATCTCATTAAAGCTAGTTTAGTAAAGCACAAACAACTCACTGCAAATTATAAATGGTAAGTTTGCAGTACTTCTATGTTGTTGTCTTGGGCTGCATCTTATGAATATTTGAATTTTTTTTTAGTTGGCAGAAACACCAAACATATTTATGCCATAATATGATATTCTTAGAAAATATGACTTTTATCCAGCATACGTTTGTCTTTTTACTTTGATAATTGGCTGAAAGATTGAATTAATTATCAAAATGCATTTAGGGCTGGGCAAAAACACAGTAATGATAATTATTGCGATTTCAATTTTCAATAAATGTTTGATTTGATTCATTAGAATGACGAACAGATTAGCACTTATTTTTTCTATTATGATTATTTATTATATTGAGGAAAAGGGATGATTTTACTTAATTTTACTCCTGCATATTTGTTGAAAAAATATTTTATCATGATTCTTTTGAACATTCTACCTCAGATTTGTGAAGTGATCCAGTGTTTGGCATCAAGGGTTTGTCGTGTTCTGACCATAAAGAACAGTTTAAAACCACAATTAACCATATTACTTCAACTTTGACACAGGAGCAAAAATCAACCTTTAAACTTAATAATGTCATTTATCGTGATAATTATCAATATCGAATGATATGACATTTTTTAGCGCTCTTAACATTCTTGGCCATATCTCCCAGGCAGTTCTAATTGCAATTGATTAATTTTCTGTTTAATCAGATGTCTAACCAGTTAATTTAATAATTGATTCAAGCCTAGTCTCAGCACAGACTTTGCTTGGACAGCAGTTAAATTTCATTTGAAAATTAAATTGCACAAACATACAATAGTCTATACAGTATGGGAACAGACATGCAGTCATGTTCCTGCATGATCTTTATCATACCATCACCCACATGAGGGTCATTTTGATCCTCATTCGACACCATTTGTTTTGAATATTTTTCATTTGAACGTCGCCTTTTGAGTCCCCTGTGAGCTTTTCAGATGATCCAAACAAACCCTTATCCACATGTCGTCCTACTCAGTTTTATTAAAGCTTTCAGTGCAGCAAACCTCCACTTTTTCTACAAAAAATAAAAATGCCCCCATCGTTTTAGGCCAAGTCATTTTTCACAGAGAAATGGCGCCATCGTGCCTTCACACATTCTGACAAAGTAGGTTAGCTTGATCACAGGCGTCTTATGGCTTCTAAAAATAAGAAGGGATTAATTGTTAAAGGTCAGATCTGACATGATTCTTACCTGACTTTCTCTTCTGCAGCGATTTGCTCTCTCCCTGGGGAGATGGTGTGAAATTAAATCCAGCCTTGGAGAGTGGAGCCCGGGCGTCAGTACGATCGGGCGAGGAAGCTTCTCATCTCATTTCACATGATCAGCACTAAAGTGGGACAATATGATTAGCTAGACAATGGTCTGGATTCATAGGCTTAGGACGGTATAGTGTTGGTGGGTGATTTTAAGGGGAAGCATCTCTGCCTCTAGTAAGAAAATCTACCTGCCTTTGTGACCAGCAAAATATATAAGAACCAAGCACAGTCTGGAAGATTTTCTGTTTTTCGTAAGCCATTTATCATTTAGGAAAATCCATCATCCTAATGGTCTTTTTGACTTTGTCTCTTACTGTCAGACTTCAAACAGAAACAAAAAGTCTCCAATTACAGAGACCAAGCTCACCTATAACAGACCAAAATGAAGGATTATGTTGAAGTCTATAGAAAAAAACTAACTCAAATCTGACAGGACCTGAAGGACTGTACACCTTAACAGTAGCATAGATGGTTTGAGTACAAGTCTCAACTTGCCTTCATTAACACCAAGTGGAGCCTGTCAAATGCCTTTAGAGGTTGTTTAAGAAATTGTTCTCACAGTATTTAACACATTCTTGGTGATTGCTCTTGGTTGTGTCTGTTTTCCTTAGATACTTTTTCATGGTTACAACAGTAGAGAGGGAATCTTTGTATTTTTTATTTTTACAGCCTTTCTCCTCCTCCCTTTAGTCTGGTGTCCTCAGACCCGTTTCCCCGCCCCCAGTTAGTAGAAAAACATTTCCAGATGTGCCAAGAAAAGAGCTCCCTGCGCAGTAGCTTAGTAATGGATTTCATACACTCAAGCTAAAGGTCACTTCCTCAGATTACTGTTCCACCAATTGTCCCCCCCCCTATCCCTAGACAACAAACAGGCACAGAGACCAGCGCCTTTACAGGACGAGGCAGGGAGCGCATACACATTCCCCCCATGAATGTAAATTGACTGGCTTCTGTCAATGAGCCGGTATCTAATTTGGACAGTGGGATACCAGTGAATATTGCAGGACACTGGGCAGCGTCATAATCATGTCTGGCACTTACATATGCATCTGTCGCGGTCCCTCTGTGGCTGCTGGATGGCTGCCCGGAATAGTGCTGCGCTGCGCGTTTTTTTATTGGCTGGACCGTCCCGCCGTGCATGGCTCTACAGGGCGGTTTGGACCCTGGGGTTTTTTTTCTATCTCTGCTCTGACTCGATGCTCTTGTCCACTGTCTCATAGCACAGAGGCTTTTGCCATTCAACGCTTTGTATGCAATATGTTGTAGAGCCAGTGGGCATGTAGTCACCCTGCACAATGGCACACAGCAGTGATTGGGGGACTTAAACTCAAGTGGCTTCTGAATGACCTCACAACTGCCTTTTCTCTGGTCCATCAGCCCTGTACCCTTTAGAATGAGCACCCCTCTGGGGCAGTATGCACACAAATTCAGATTGACATGCATACGCAGGCACTGTTAACGCCTGTTGAGGCCTATTAGATATATTCAGCAAGCCATTCTCTCACTTAGAATAACCTCACTGTTTGTTTTATGTCTCTATCTGTCTCTTGCTCTTCTCCATTTCAGATCACAGACAGAAAGTGCCTTGTGAGACAACATCCCTTCCTGAAGATCCCCGGGTGTTTCTGAAGAGCAGTCCCTCTGCAGCCGTGGCAGTACATAGATCAGCCGCAAACACCCTTGACCTTTTGGTTGTTCCTTACCTGTGCTTAGTGCGAAGAGGTGGAGCTACTGCGCTGCTGGCCAAGGTGCCAAAGCTCAGAGAGAGTAGGTACTGAAGACTTTTAAACAATAGAACGCCACAAACTCTGTGTTGTCCAAAACTGTGCCATTGCATCTCAAAATAGCGCCACTTTTGCTGACCAACATCCACCTCTGAACAGATATCATCAGTCATACAAAGGACATTTTGGGGACAACCACTAGAGCTTGGTTCCGAGCATGCCCCCTCTGCCTTGTCAGAGGTCTGCACTTGAGACTTACTGATTGATGAACAATTAGCTGTTTGACTGACACACTCCACAACAGCAGTGCAATCCCATGCTCCGGTCACAGAGACCTTGCCAGTCCATTACCTCCACTCTCCTGTCCGCAAGGACAAACCTCATCCACTGACCTGAAGCAGATCGTTTATATCTACATGTTTCATCAGTTTTAGTTGTTGTGTGTTTGATTTTTTTTCTACTGGAACACTCTGAAACCCCTCCTCAGAGAATAGACTCCTTCTTAAACCAAGTGGCTCCACTCCACCCCAGCTTCACAGCCGGTGCCGCTAACATGGCTCTAAACATTGCCTCGATACGGGACACAAAATGGCTGACCCTGGAAGTGTGCCGGCAGTTTCAGAGAGGGACTTGTTCACGCAGCGATGAGGAATGCAAATTTGCCCACCCACCCAAAAGCTGCCAGGTGGAGAATGGGAGGGTTATTGCCTGCTTTGACTCGTTAAAGGTAAGGACTTTTAAATACAATTGGTTACTGTTGTGTTCTGTTGGGATTTTTATGAATTTTACTCTATCCTCTACTTTTGTTCTATTTTTCACCCAACAGTACAGAATTCAAATAGATAAGAAAATGTGTACCTATTTAGACCTCAGGTTAATTTGTTGTCACGAATGCCTGGCATACAGGTAACATTTATTTTTCTTTACACAACCTTCATGGGACTAGCAAATTATGTAAAGTAAATAAATAAGTGGATTACATCTCTGCTGTACCAATGTAGCATTGGATGTAAAATGTTGCAGCTTTAGTCGGTGGGTGTAGGTTGTCTGCTCAAATTAGTATGTGTGTCAGGTCACCACGCTGCGCTGCAGTTAGCAGACTGACCTATGAAGCTAAAGGCCAGAGAGGTCTGTTGTCATATTCACCGTCACCACAGGTGTGTGTGTGTGCATGTGCGTACACGCGTGTGTTTTTCATACGGGGAGTTCTTCTTATGTTACCATGCCTTGTCCATCATCTTTACTTGTGGACGAACATCTGATCGCCTTAAGTCATTCCAGGGCTTCTATTCCTGGGTGCATGTCAGCTGTCACACAACCAAACAGTAACAGCCAGAGCTGTTGTTGTAATATTGTGTTCTTACAGCTCTAAGAAGATGCAAAGGTATTGCATTTTCAAGATGTGACTAATCATCTTATCAGAGGTTATGTTGCTGTTATATTTGTGGTACGTGGTATGGAAAAGTATGGAATTTGATTTTCATAATTTCCATGTGTGGATAAGTAAGGAAAAAAAGGAAAAAGATATTATGGGGAAAGTGTAATTTTTAATAATATATAATTTTTAATACAATTCAAAAATACAGACTATTGCCTTATTCTGTTTTTAAAATATAAAATTCTGAATTTATACAAATAAATTGATCAAACAAGCAGAGTGTTTTTCATGGCTTTTGGAGCAGGCAGCCAGGGCAGCCAAAGAGTTTACCAGCTTGATGTCGTTGAAAGTTAGGCAAGAAGTATAGTGTGTATAATCTTTATAAAAAAGGAAGTATAGCGTGTGACTGCACGAACACAATGCAGTGCTGCTTCTATGCTTTGACATCACAGCCTGCAAAACATCTCTGCCCCAATGCCTTGTAACTGCACTAGGGATGTCCCCGACTAAGGATTTACATAGTCGAATCAGAATCGTCAAGTCCTGCCTATAGTCGACTCATAGTCGAATCATGTGTGTCTTTGTGCGCGGCGATTGCGAGCCAAAGCTAAAATGAGGCTTATTGTTGACCCTTTTCCCTCTCTCTCTCTCTCTTGCCTGCCATTCACCGGTCTTGTGCAGAGTTTTTGCCGTGCTGCCGACAACTGCATGCACGTCGCTGTTCCTCGTGGGTCTATTTCAAGTAGCGGCTGTTTAAAATCGATATAATATTCTTTGTGTGGTTCATCAACGGTGATAAATTACTCGAAAGTCCCACGAGGTGCGAACAACTCGGCACAACACTGGTGAAGCTGTGGCTCCATCTCTTCAGCAAGTGTTCCTCCTGCCACTACACACATAACACGCTACACCTACACATGCGCACTGACGACCCAGGGTTAGGGTTACAATTTTGTATTCATTCACTTTAAAAACATTTATTTACATTATTATTTTTTTTTTTCACATGTTTATTTACAGCATTAAACGTTGAAATGTGTGTTGTAATAGGCTGTATATGAACTTATTGGGAGAAAACTGGTAGTTCAATGTAAAATCAGATGTTGAGCTCCCCCATATCGCATAAATGGCATGATCCTTGTTTTGCTGCGAAGATCGACTGTGAGATTGATAGTCGAATCAGGCTCCGCCCATCAAAGCATCCGATCTTGGACTGTTTGGGGTCAGCCCTAAACTCCACCAAATCCATGCCCAAATTAGCTTAAATGAAAATGCAGCAACATCTCTGAACTGCATATATACGTAGCATCGCACATAACCAAATATTGAGCATGTCTGAGTTATGCAGTTATCAGAAAAATAAACTGAATAAACTTAAATTATTTACCATTTTTCAGAACATTTTCTGTTCTTATTTACTAAAAAGTATTGGGGGAACAACTTTTTGCGGCAACATAATAGCATACATAGTCAGAATGTAACACACATGCTAACATATTTTAAAACCATTTCTTTACATAAGAAATTATACTAAGAGAGAAGTCTGGAAAAGTATGAAATTTTGATATGAAGCATGTGTAGGAACTATGTGTTCAATATACTTTTGCTCTACTGCACAGTTTGCTTTTTCATAGTGGTAAATTAATGGTAAATTGGCTTAGCACCAGACACTTTTAAAGTCTTCCCAATTATAACAAGGTTGCTTCACACAAGCTCCCATATGCTGCAAATAAGATGACTGCATTAAAAAGCAACCCATTATTTTCAAGCTGTGTGAAAAAAAAAAACAGCTGTGACAATGATAAATAGCCAAAGAAAGTAGAGCAGAACACTGGAACTGTGAGAAGTTTGTCTTGTGTTTTTTTTTTTATTGTGAACTGTAGCTGCATTTTTATATATACAGCAGTGCAGTGTGTGGAGAGTGCATGTCACATTTTTCAAGGTTATGTACGAGGTCAGTGTGACCCTATCCCTCCTGAAACGCATTTCTTTTGTACATGAAATTCATGAAGATCTTTGAAGTGTGTAAAAAGCCCTCCTCATTACAAGTTGCTTAGAGTCAGTTATTTATTTGACACTATGAAAACAAGCTGCCTTTATGGTGCTGTCAGCTGTTTTCGTGGCTAAGACTTAGCTCATGGTAAGGCTCGCAGAGTTATTGCTTGCAGTCAATCAGTGGGTGACATTCCTTCCCAGCGTCCAGATTTTGCGAGCTGTTATGGTTTAATGAGCAAACAGCTGACTCCAATCGGGATCGATTTGTTGTTGAGCCTTCCAAGGGAAGGCCTGACATGAATCCTCTGCACATGATTTTGCTGTTCGTTGAAAAATCCAACTAGTCATCCCTGACTGAGGAAACAAAATGACCGGAGCACTGAACCTTATATTAGTGCCACATTTCGTTTAGACTATTCTCAATGACGTCACGTATCCTCTACAAATTGTGGCTTTGGGGAAATTCACTGGCAATTCATGCATCATCTGTACCTTAATATACAGAATGAAGGAAAAGCCTTCGCATGCAGTATGCACTCAAGATGTCTCTCAGAGGGAGCTGTAAAGCCTAGAAGAACCTGAGGTTACTTATCTTGTAACCCGTGTTCTCTGAGAATATGAATGAGGCGTCTCACTATGAGAAATGCTCTCTGCAAGGGACCACGGTGGACAAAAGAGTAATCATCCTGGTCTGAAACGAGATGCTCTGACACACCTTTGAATGATTTGAAAAGGACGTCTTTGCTAGCCTCTAGAGTATCACCAAGACGACTTCACAGCTGTTGTCAGCGTCATATTTTGAGAAACAGACTCAATTTGATGTAATCTATGGGCACGTCCATCAGGTCTTTGTTCGAAAGGCTAGCCTGGTGGCTAGCATGGTGGTTTTTAGTACTTTCTCCATTGGCAAAAGGCTAATTTTGAGCTGTTGTCCCATGGTCAGACGTTAAATTAGCCATTACACTATATAAACGTATAGATAGATCTGTCTCTAATTCCAGCCACTCTATCTCTCTCGCTCTCTGCCTCCCCCTCTTTTCACCATACAACGCAGTGACAGAACAAGAATACAGGATTCTCTGTGCTTTTAACTCCAACTCAGCCCCTCGCTCACAGACTTTCCTCGTGACGGCTAAGAGAATGAATGCTTTATTATGCATTAGGAAATGTGTTTCGCTCCACGGCAGGCTGATTTCCACCCCATTACGCCTGTATCGTCTTCCTGGGTCTTCTCATCTGATAGGGTTATCATGCCAGGGTTGTGTGCTGCCAGGCGTGACTTGGCCAGTGATCAGAAGGGTCCTTTTCACAAACACATGAAAGGTACGGCTCAGGAGAGGAGTCGGGTAGGAGGTGTAACTCTTCTGTTGCACTTGTCAGGCAGCGGTAAACAAGCATGCCAACTCACTATTCTGGTTGTTGTTTTCAGTCTGAGTTGGAAAAATATGTCATACTGACAATGGCTCCTTCCTGCCCCTTATAGCTGAATCTCAAATATTACAGCCCATTTCCAAAATAAATCGAATTTGTTTATTTTTTTCTCACCAAGGTTTATTTTAGATGTATTTTGACATGGTTGATATAATCGATCCAGTGTTCAGAAGGTTTTAAAATAATTTATACGTATGATTTACTGGGTGTTGGCTGCACAACATAAAAAAAGGATTTTAGGTATATTTTTGGTAAATTATACGTGTCTCTGACTGGCAATCATCTTCTGCAAAGCAGTCTTTAAAAGATGTTATTCATTTCAAACACAATGCAGTGGGACTAGTCAGAAAGGTTGCTGCCATTGCTTGTGGCAAGAAATAGAGAAGAGATAAGTGCCTCAGATATTTATGCTCTGTATAAATTACATTTGAGAGCATAATTCATTTATTGCTCTTGTGTGTGCATCCACCCTTATCGATGGAGAACGAACATGCCTTTCAAATTTCTGATCAGGCAGTAAAGTCACCAGACCGGAGGCCGAGACACGTCAAGCAAAGGAATGGGTGTAGTGGGGTTTGGTAGCAGACAGCCAAACAGTGGCCACTGGCACAAGTTCCAGTCATCTGGAGCAAAAGACTGACCTAATAAGCAACTGAAATAAAAATTGGTTTTTTTTCTGTTAGTGTGCTTTGCATGGGACAAATGATAATGAGGAATCATTCCTGCTAGATTTTCTCCTGCTTTCTCGATCATAAAGCTTGCAGCGTCCCGACTCCACCGCGCAGCTCTCAGCAGTACTATAGTGCAATGTCTAGGGTATTATTTTTTGTCCTCCTGCTCTACACTGTGGGCTTTAGAAATAGTCTCTCTATGCTACATTTGTCATGTCTCAAAATAGGATGGGCTGCTTCATCTCTGTCCAA